TTTTTTTCTGAAAACAATTTGTTTAAAGGTAATTCTTTGAAAAAATCAAATAAAATAAAATAATAGAGTAATTGGTTATTTTATTGCCAATTTTTGCCAATAATTGGTTATTTATTATTTTATTTTATTTTGTCTGCCTTCCCAGTATTTTGTTAGTCTGTTACTGAAAATACATTTCTGGTGATATTTGATGCCAGAATCCTGTACATCTAACATTTTGTGAACTTTGACTTTCTTGGAATTGGGGTCAAATCTTAAAATTTTGTGATTGTTTGAGATTAAACTGCGAGATCACAACCCTTGATTTATTGTGTTTAATCTCTGTTGTATGTGAGGGTTATTACAGGTAATCTATACAATGTGTCAAATTTAGAATCACTTGGAAAGTGTGAAAACAAATAAAGAAATTTAGATATATCAAATTTGCTTGGAATACTCCCGAAATGGAGGGTGCATGACAAAAGACCAAAGTACTGTTGACTCCTATCTTCAAACATGTGGACAATAAAACAACTCATAAGATTGCAATAACTGTACCCTCAAACAATATGCATGTGTAAACTGTTTCAATTAGAATCCCAGAACTGAATTAAGAAGCTCAAATTTGAAAGGAAATTGCGACGCACATTAAATCAACATGATTTCAATAATTGTAAAGCACTGAGGTCAAACATGAATTCTATCGAAATACAGATTTACTGGCCAACACAAGGTGCCTTTTGGCAGAGATGGCTCCGCTGTTATCAATATTTCAATTAGACAATAGATTTGATGGCATTCACACATATTCCATGATTGGCAATATCATGTCAAAGTATCATGTGCAGTAGTTTTTGAATAGGCTAATAACTATCTAAAATAACCAGTTACTCTATTTTGATTTATCTATAATTTATATTTAAGAATTGAATTACACATATGCCCCTCATTTGACATATCACATCTGTTTGAGTACTTTGTAAAGTTGATACATGGATGTCACAGGATTAAGACATTTACGTCATTCTTTTACAATATGTACTTGTTTATTTTATCACATTTTAAAAATTACCATATGCAAAGGAATGCGCACCTTTGGTTGCATTATGTATGTACATATATGTGACATAAAATTATCTTCTTTTAGCACATGCATGACTTTGCAAACATTAGTCACAACATTTCAATAATTCAGAATACATTTCTAAATAAATAATCCATTCATGTTTACACGTAACACATTGGTGTTCAATATAGCGTGAATACAATTTATTTCCCATGTGAATAATTCTTACACAAATGAAATAAAAATGTTCATAAAACATTCTTTCTAATCTATGATTTTATTTTAGGATGATATTCTAAATTGAAATGCTTTTCATTTCATATCTTACATGATGTTTGTTTCAACATATTAAATAATGTATTAGTAAATATGGATATTAAGGTTTTAAAAAATCACATGTTGATATTTAATTGTTATTTGGTATTTAATAGTATTTTAATGTGAAAGAAATGTTACTTTAATACAAACAATATAGCAATGTTGCAATAGTTATCCTGTTATCATAAAGATATGCACATCTAATCCTAAAACAGAGGCCTTCAAGTAAGAGAAATTAAGAAATAAAAATACATTGTTAACTTATTAACTTGTGCAATTTCCTGTAGTTAGACCAATAAATCCCCGGCCATGCAGGTTGTGCAATATCTGGTTTTCGCGTGACTGAATAGCTTGTGGTTTTGTTTTCGTGTATTTCATTGTCAAGTAATAGTAATGCTGTACAGGGTTGCCATTCACGTCTTCAGTATAAGGCCAAAATCCATAAACATCAATATTTTTGCAGATAAGACATGCCAGTGTGAACGTTATAAATCCCTCACTTGCACCAGGCTTATTCCAAATCCTAAACCAATCAATAAAATAAAACATAAATGCGATGAAATTAATATCAGCTGACAATAAAGTGCGAATAAAAAAAGAATAATTGATAACCCTAAAACAACCCTTGTAATTGAGACAAGAACAAAACATAAAAGGGATAATGCTCTCGGAGGATTGCACGCACGATTGCAGGCTTACAGTGTTAGGTGAATAAATACTTTTAATATTGAATCCCCTCTTTAGATCTATTAAATGATAATTCATTCCAATATATAACATTTGTGTTTTTCACTCTATCATTTTCCTTACAGAAAAGCAGATATGAATAATATCTATACGAATCTATATTTCGTTATATATTTACCATTAGAACTCAATAATTATTATAATTCCATAAATATCTATCTCACAACTACTTTGGATTTACAGAAAAAACAAATAAATTATTGAGATATGACAATACTATTTCACATTAGAGAGAAATAAAAAATAATTCCCTTTTCTTGCAAAAAAGTTATTTGGTAACCATACTTCTGTAATCGAGAGTTTCAATGCCTATTAAAGACGTTTCGTATATTTATATATACCAAATATCCTTGAACCCCGTTTGTAAAATGTGCTATGCTAGATCGAGTAATTAGCTCATTTGAATTGATTGTATTGCGTTTGAAGTCAAGTATGAATTCTCAGTAATGAATACGTATCCTTCATTAATAACTGATATGTGTAAAATGTACTTACTTGGATGACATGCCAGGAAAAAGTGGTTTAACAGCATATGCCAGCTTATAATTCAATTTTGCTTGACCTTTACCTTTTGTTTTCATCAGGAGATATTTCAGACTCTTTTTAGCATGATTCATTCCGGACTTACGCAATGATTGGTCATATCCAAACCATAACAAAGAATTTTTAACATCCCTTAGTTCATTGTAGTATCTTTCATATGCCTTATTTCCTTTCGGGTTTTTTAAATACTCTGCTAAAAATTTAATAACGAAATGATTAACAGCCGAAAGATTTGTCTTGTGTCCAACATCGTTTTCAAATCCTCTGACTAGCGGAAGGTTCATTCGAATAACAAAGTCGTGCTTGTCTATTTCTTTACCACAAGTGCTATTTAACAAAATTCCGCTGCTACCAACGAGAGCACAACTGTCCTGAACCCCGATTGTGTAGAAATCACGTGCATATTGATCCATGTCAATTACATTGCTTCTATTCCACGGCCTTTGAGGGCAACACCTTTCCTCGATTTTATTCTCACTTTTGTAAATAGCTAAACTATGTTCAAGCTTCAGCCACTTATTGATCTCCGACCTATAAACCAATGCAAAATAAACAAAATATTGTTGATAAGATATATCCTCAATATTGTTTGGCATGTGTGTAAACAAACAACAACGTTCTTCCGCAATGTTATGTTGCCCAAAACATCTCTGAAACAACACAAAAGTGTTAACCCTTATCATCTTAATAATACTAGTCTATGGCATAACCGTGTCAAACAGCTCAACGAATATGTATTATAAAAAACATTGATCTGGAATTTGAACTACAGTACCGAAAAACAAACAAAAAAACTATTTGACTGTGGTTGTATTAACAGTTGACTTTCTTAAAGTCTGTCGTGATACTTATAAAAATTGTTAATTGTGTAAAACAAGGGGTGAA